GATCTTGGGAAAAGTCATTTTAGTCAAGTGATTAGAATTTATTTCAGATAGTAAGGGATTGAGAACTGGTATGGATGGAAAAGAGGGTAAGCTAAGTATGTACTGACTTCTCTTCTTACAAGTTTAGAAGCAAAGGGAAAGAGAGGAATAGAATGACAGATTAAGTAAGTCAGAAGGTCAAGAAAAAGCTTCTATTTTAGACTGGGGAGATCTGAGTATAGTTGTAGGTAGAGTAGAAGGCATTAGTAAAAGAGAGAGTAAAGCTTCAGGAATGAGATTAGATCATTAGATAAAGCCCAGGTTCCAGGGGAAACAGGAGGGAATGAGATTCAGGGCACAGGCAGAAGATATATCCTTGGTAGGTAGGAGAGCCACTAAGACTGTAGAGAAGGTGAGTAACAAAAGAGATGTTTAGAGGTAGGCTTGAAGGCATCTATGTCAGAGAGAGAAAAATTAGTAAAGTTTTCTGTTGAAATGGAAGAAGGCAGTAGAGATGAGTCTTTGAGGAGAGAAGATTTGAAAAAGTGATTTGCAACAGCTCATGCAGGGAGTGTGGATAAAGATTTAATGAAAGAATAAGCACATAGCATGAGGGACTCAATCAACATTCAATAGGAAAAATTTATAGTGGTCTCTCTCAGTCAGCATGATTTAACAATTTTCTGCAGAAATATTCAGTCACTTGGAAGTAGAATTTGAGGAAACGGACAGTAGAGATTAACATGATAAATTCATCTGGGACACATTGAATTTGAGGTGACATTTAGACATCTTAGTGGACATTTTCAGTCAACAGCTGCAAATATGGAACTGCATATGAGATTAAAAGAATTAAAGATAGAAAATTTAAGAATCGTCAGCTCAAATAATAACTCCTAAATGAAGTCTTTCTCAATGCCCCTTCATATTAGTGCCTATTCCCCAAGATGACTTTGTATTTAGGCAGCTGTGAGGCATAATAAATATAGCACTGAACTTGGTGTCATGAAGACCGGAGTTCAGATATAGCTTCAGACACTTACTAGCTATGTGACCCTGAGTAACACACTTAATCTCTGTCTGCCTCAGTTTATCATTTGTAAAATGTGAAAAATAGCATCTATCTTCCAGGGTTATTATTGTAAGGCTCAAAAGATATATTTATAAAGCATTTTGCAAACCTTGATGTACTATATAAATGTTAGCTATTATTATTTTTGCAACTATTTTATGTATAATTATGTTAACAGATTTTACTGATAGCTTTTGTTAGTTCATCATCTATATTTCCCCCTGCAGCCTTTACCCTCCCCAATCCAAGAGAGACAAACCCCTATATCAAAGAATTTTTTAAAAAGAGAAAGAGGAAGAAGAGAAGAAAAAAATCATCAAAATGATCAAGTCTAACCCATAATTAACAAAAATCCCTCCTACCTTCCCACTCTTTAGTGGGACCTTTAGTCTCTTGACCCAATTCTATTGTTTCTGACCATTTCCATCACATGGTTTTACTTGAGTCCATAACTAACCTTGACTACATGGTCTAACAATTTAATGTTTTACTATCTTTTACCTTAGAATCCCATGCCTCCCTGATCTTCTGCTGTTTCTGATCCCCAAATTTTCTTCTCTTAGTACATTTGCCATCTAATGGCTTAATTCCTACCCCAGATTTGCTGGCCATCACCAAAAAAAAAAATCACAATATAGAGAAAATTTCACAAACAACAAATTCAAGCTCATACTTGACCTTTATGGCTGCTTAATCATCCTTTTCAATTCTTATCCACTCTCTGTTGTATTTCCCACATCTATTTCACATCTTTTCTCCTCCCACCCCTAGACTTCTCTTTAACTGTTTTCTTAATGGTTACCAATAAAATCCAATTGACTTTTTTCAGCCTTCATCTTCTATGAACATTCTGAAATAATGGACACTGTTTCCACTCCTTCTTACTGGCTATTCCTCATTCCCTTAGCTTCAACGATTACACAATTTCTTGATTTTCCTCTCACTTCCGTGACTACTCCTCCTACCCCTCACTCCCTGATTTTTACTTCTTCTCGTCCCTTCATCGAAGACAAAGAGAAAACTCCCCTTGGCCTTGGACTCCATGGCTACGGTCTTTCAGCTCTCAGTCTATAATCCATTGTTTCTTCTTTACTTTTTCCCATATATTCTTTCTCCTGGTGACCTCATTTATGCCTATTAAAAGCAAGAAATAATTCAGCTTCAACTATGACTTCTATGCATGTGGCTCCCTAATCTACCTAATGAATGGGTTAATCAAAAAGAAGGTATTTAGGGCCTAATATGTGACAGGCAGTTTGTAGGGGAGGGGGTATAAAGATGAAAACAGAATGAGAGGAGAGGAGAAGAAGAAAAGAAGAGTGGAGGAAAGAGGAGAAGAGAAGAGAGGGGAGGGGAGGAGAAGATTCTTGCCCTAAAATAGCTTACATTCTGTAAGAGGAAGAAAATACATACATATATAAACATATTTGGAATAAACAACAAATGAATACAAGGCAGTTAAGGTAATTAGAGATGGATGACACTAGCGGTCAGGGTAAGATTTCCTGTATAAAGTGGCCTTTAAGCTGAATCCTGAAGGAGGTGAGATTCTCAGAAGTATAGAGGAGGAGGTAACACAATCCAGGTATGGGGGATGGCCAGTACAAAAACAGAGAGATAAGACATGGAGTACTTTGTGTGACAAGTAGAAAAGGCCAGTTTGCCTGGGCCACTGTGTTCAGGAAGGGGATTAATTACATATGAAGGCTAAAAAAATAGATTCAGAGTAATTGTGAAGTGTTTTTAAAGCCAAACAGAAGAGTTTTATTTTATCTTCGAAGAAATAGGAGCCACTAGAGTCTGTTGAGTAGAGACAAAGTCAGATCTAGGTTGGAGGAATTCACTTTGACAGCTGTGTGGAAAATGGATTGAAGTGGGGCCTCGATGCAGAGACCAATTAGGCTGCCACTCAATAGTTCAAGTGGGAGGTAATAAGGACCTAAATTAGAGCGGTAGCTATGTGAGTCAAGAGAGTGAATGTCTCACTGCCATTTCAAACACACGTCTAAAACCAAATCTATCATCTTTCCCCCTAAACTTGTTCATCCTTCTAGTTTTTTTAAGTAGCTTCACAACTTATCTAGTCACCAGTGAAAAATGCCTCAGTATGGTCTTTTACTCCTTCCTTTCCCTCATTTCTCCATCTGGAAATGCTGTTGATTCCACCGCCAATTTCTCTCACGTGATCATCACCTTCCCATTCTCACTGTCCTTACTCTCGTGCAAAACCTCATTAATACCGGCCTAGACTACCACAAAATTCTCCTCCTGGGTCTTTCTGCCTCCATTCTTTCCAATCTAGTCTTCATACTGCTGTTTGATTAATTTTCCTTATGCATAGATGTATGTAATCAAGTCACCACTCTGGTCAAAAATGTTCAGAGACTCTTTCTTGATTCTCCAAGAGGGGAAAACAATGACAGGTGATCAGGAAAAACTCTATATAGGAAATAACCTTTAAACTGCTGATTGTTTTCTATTGCATTATCAAGTAAACTTCCATTTTCTTGGCTTGGCAACAAAAGTCCACCTATCTGGTATCAGCTTACATTGCACATCTTACCTCAAATTACTCCCCTCCATATACTCATGTTTAAAACAAGTTAGTCCAATCAGTCTGCAGAAGGTACCCTCCACTCTCCCATCTTTGTGTTTTGTTCACACTATTTCGCAGAACTGAAATGTCTGTTGAATTCATTCCCATCATTTTAGGCCCACCTTAAATGCTAGCTCCCCCATGAATACTTCCTCAGTTCATTCTTTCAATAACATTCTCTCCTTAGATCTCTCACGGTATTTTATTCTAAATCTCCATAATGCCTTTATTGTGGACTGCTTCGTAATCTGTAATCTGTGTTGGTGCCTTATTTTTCTATCAGACTGGGAGCTCTATTAGGGTAGGGACCTTGTCTCATCAAAATTTTGTGTCTTCCTCAAGATCTAGCTCTCCACTTTGTACATAGTAGCTGTTTAAGATGTGCTTATCATTGTGCATAAAAATGTGCATATCATGAATAAACATGCACATATGAAATACTAAAATTATTCATTAAATGCTAAAATTCTTTCACTTGGGCCCTGTTTTTAATATTCTACAAAGGCAAACTATTTTCTTTTTATTCAAAGTGCTTGGCACATAGTAGGCAGTTAATAAAAACTTGTTGATTTGACTTTTTTTTTCTTTTTGGTGAGGCAATCGGGGTTAAGTGATTTGTCCAAGAACACACAACTAGTAAGTGTTATGGGTCTGAGACCTGAACTCAGGTCCTCCTGATCCCAAGGCTGAAGCTGTATCCACTTGACTTTCATTTGAAACCACAACTGACTAACAGTAGTTGAAAGTGGACTTGAATTTCACCTGGGTCAGTCAACATTTTCCTATACTTTTTTTTTTGCAAGCTTCAAAGTCTTTTCTTATTGTTATACTTCACAACAAATGTATGAAACATACTATGATTTGTAAATTTGCTCACTGATAGAATACAAGCTCCTTGAGGGAGAAAGAATCTCACTTTTCGTCTTTTTGTTCCAGTGCTTGGTACGTCTTACGCTCTCCAAAAATGCTTGAATAATTGCTCTCCCTACTTCAGAGATTTAGTGTTTGGCTTTAACATACAACATGCTAACTGCAAAAAGGAAAGAAATAAATTAAGAGCAGGAAATCTACTTGATTCACTGCCTCATTTATTCAATAGACCTTCACAGTTGGGGGGAAATACTTTTGAAAAGGCCAAAACTATAACAATCCAATATCATTTAAGCATCTCCAGAACTCCTTGCTCTCTATTCCCTTAGAGAAGCATAAACATTAAGAAACTAAATAAAAGTGTAAAAAAGAGGGGAAAACAAAATCAGAATAAGTGCTTGATTTTGCCATTACTTACAGTCAATCAGAAGAAAAGAAAATGCCTAGAGCACAGAGCTCCTTCCCCTCCCAAGACCCACATACCTGCTCTGTTTTGGCAACATTCCATGGCACTGTCTTTTCTTCTTCCAAGCCCAGCTTCCCTGGTGCCCTAAGGCTGATTAGGTAATGGATACTAGCTGGGTCTAAATGGATGCCAGGTGTTCAACATGGAGCCAACATGCCTACTTCTAGGCATTTTGCTAACTGGTTGGGGAATACAGTCACAGAGCATCTAGTGGAAAAAACAAAGAACATTTTTCACTTTTGGCCTCACTGACTACAAAGGACTGTTTTATGCCAGTATAGATATCGTTCCATCATTTTCCTTCCCTATACCCCCACTACTGAGAAGACTTTTGGTCCAGTGGTATTCACCTCATTAGCAGCCTAATCGTTACCCTAGTCAAAAAGCAGAGAAAATGCAAGTCAAAAATCACACTGCCTTCATATACCAGTCCTTTTAACAGGATGCAGGACAGCTTTTTTATTAATAAGATTCAGTCTGAAATCTGTGTAAACTGTCTTGTTGCCAAGGCAACCTTACCAGCAAAACAACTGATCCATACATCATTCTTGCAAGTGCGACAAATAAAACTGATCATAAAATCTAGAGGGAGGAAAGGGAAAAGGAAACAGACAAAAACCAAAAGGCAAAGGAGGATAGATAACGCTGGTACCAGGAAAAGGTGCTTTAAGGCAATATTCTACCCCTGTTGGGTTTCATTGAAAGTGAAAATGGACTGAGTCAAATATACTAGGTATCTAATATGCCAGGTAATATGAGAGACTTTAAAAGAGAAATATCTTGGACTCAAAAAACACAGTCCTCTGCCCTCAGGGAATTTACAACCTATTTAGAAGGATCTAAATCCAACTCTTACATTCTATTTTGACATACACACATAAAACTATTAGAGAATATTAAGATCAAATAAAACCAAGTGCTAAAGTGCATATTGTGTAGGTGCTGTAAGAGGTCAAGAAGGTCAATATGAATGACAATAATAAAGTTTTGTGATATGGGAAACTTCATTGTTCTCCAGTTGTTTCTTCTGTTTGAGTCTTTAGCCACAAGCTCAACTACAAGCAACTTGAGGACAGGACATGTCTTATAGTCTCCAATATGCCCCACACAAGCAATAGATAAGCTTCAATACACATTTATTAAACATCTACCATGTGCTAGGCATGCTGAGTGCTAGAGTTTTGGCCACAATAAATATCAATAAATGTTTAAGGATTTTTATGTAGAAAAGGTGGGGAAATGAATCAGAATGGTTTATCATTTAATTAGAGGTGTCATATTGAGGTAGTTTGGTCAGTCAGTGGTTAAATTATCACATTTGGTGACCATTGTCAAAACCTGCATGGCTGGGAAGGTGAGCAGGGGGCCCTGGGAGAGAGCCTTCCATATGGCCAGCATCCTCGGCAACTACATGGTGGTCTATAGTGGCAGCATACGCACTCATGAGCAGGAGGAGAGGTGTTATGAGGATGGCATCTTCTTCTACCATCTGGGCTGCCACCAGTGGGCATCAGGAGCTGAACTGGCCCCTCCAGGGGAGAATGACCTGAACTTCTGTAGATGATAATAAGGATAGGGTATGTAACAAGCAGATTGCACTGATCTTGGGAAAGGAAAGGTATTGTGAAGAAGGAAAAGAGACCTTCAAATGACAAGTTATGATTTGTATGTGAAGGTAGTCTCTCTACTGTGATGTAGAGCTCCCAGATTTCTCATCATCATCCTCAAATGTGACAGCTTAATCATTGACTTGCCAAGCTACCTCACTTTGATATCTCTAATTGAAATAATAAACAATCCCACTTCTTTTTCTCATCTTTTTTTTTAACATAAGCTAGAAGGGCATATAAGCCCTCAGCACAGCGTTCAGCAGCTTCTGTAGAACATGACATGTTCCATAGGCAATCTACAATAATGGAGCAAATGATAGCCTCTATCAGGATAAAGTATTTTTCTTTATAATTTATTCCCCAACAGATTATCCCTTCAAATCATATAAGGCTGCATTCACAACAAAAATTTACTATCCAAATATTAACAATAATGACAACATTTGTCTTGATAATCTATGGTCATAGTGGTTGCCAGCAGTATTTCCAAACTACTCTTGTCCAGCTGTTACTCTGTTGTGTGATCCCAATTCAGATGACCCTTGAATGCCTTGTAGAGATCTACAAAGATGAGAGAGAAGAGTACAGCAGAATACTTCAGGAAGGAATTCAGAAGTATATAATTGAAGAAATTCTTGGATAAGTTCTACAGATGAAGATGGGGGAACTCTCAAAGGCAAATCCTTCTCATTTCCATTTAACTGCTTTCTATGAGCCCATGTCTCTTCTCTCCTGCTGTACATGTTTACCTGATAGAATAGTGCTTATATATTGGACATACTTGGTATAATGAATAGAAATTCTCTATTTCTTGCACCAACATTGACTCCTAGCAAAGAATGTATGGGAAAAGCCAGCTCTCCAGTAATAAACTAGTTGTGAGACTAAAATCGTTCCTTATTGACTTCACTGGATAATGCAAGGCAGAAGTTGCTGTTGTTTGGTTTGGGGTGAGAGAGCGTAATTACGATGAATGACCTATGGGAGAATTTGTTTTTGGAAGCAAATTCAAACTCATAGAAGTTTAAAAAGCAAAGTATATCAAGTCAAAAAGTGTTTATTAAATACTATGTGCCAAGCACTGGCTAAAGCATTGGGAATACAAATATAATCAGAAAGATCTTGACCTCAAGAAGCTTACATACTAATGAAGGAAGACAATATATAAAAGGAAGGTGAAAGGGGGATGTGGGAAGGGGAGAAAGTACCTTCATGGGGCATATTAAAGAAAGTCCAGAGAGTGAAAAGCAGAACCCAAAGAGGAATGAAGATATGGCTGGCCTGGGTGCTTTTCTTAAAATGGAGGCTCTAGGAAGAACCAGCCAATCAGAGGAAGGGTCTACAGGGGGAGAGTGTATTTCCAGTGTGAGAAGTCATGGGTAGGCTTCTGAATGTGAAGAATGTCAAGCTGTTTCTATAATCATTCTATCTGAAGAACCCACTGAGTTGAAATCCTGCCTTAGATACTCATTAGCTATATGACTTTGGCTAACTTGCTAAACTGAGCCTTCAGCATCAGTCTCTTTATCTGTAAAATAGGGTTAATAATACCACCTACCTCACAAAGTTATTGTAAAAATTGAATGGTATGATATGTGTAAATCTTTTGCAAACCTTAAAGCAGCTACATAAACGCTAGCTACTATTGCCTTTTTTTCTCTCATTTTTCTTATTTTATTTTTTTTATTGATTTATTTTGATTCATCAACAATCACTTCCAAATGCTTTTGAGTTTAAAATTTTTCTTCCCCTTTCTCCCCACCACCCTCCCCAAGACAGCACACAATGTGATATAGGCTATACATACACATTCCTGTTAAACTTATTTTCATGTTAGTGCTGTTGTAAGTAAGAATTAGAACCAATAGGAGGAACCACCAGAAAGAGAAAACAAAACTCAACAGAAGGGGAAAAAAATAGCAAATAGTATGCTTCGATCTGCATTCAAACTCCATAGTACTTTCTTTGGATATAGATAGCATTTTCCATCACGAGATCTTTGGAGATGTCTTTGATCCTTGTATTGCTGGGAACGGTTAAGTTTATCAGTATTAGTCATAGTACCACATGGCTGTAATTGTGTGCAATGTTCTCTTGGTTCTGCTCACTTCACTCAGTATCAGACCATACAAGTCTTTCCAGGTTTTTCTGAAGTCAGCCTATTCATCATTTCCATAATATTAGTATTCCATAACATTCATATACCACAACTTGTTCAGTCATTCCCCAATTGATGGGCATTCTCTCAATTTCCAATTCTTTGCCACCACAAAAAGAGCTGTTATAAATATTTTTGTACAGGTGGATCCTTTTCCATTTGTATGATCTCTTTGAGATATAGCCCTACTATTGTCTTAGGTAAATGTTTTGACCACCAAGATTAAACTATACTTCAATTTGTATTTTAAGCAAGTTTAACTGGTCAATATTTAAATAGCTTGTAGCTATTGGCACATTAAATGATGAATATTTTTGTTCTGTTTTCCAGCTCTTCTCCAGCAGCCCTTCCCTCCAGTACTTTTGGGTTTGTATATGGTTTCTCAGTTAATAAATAGCTAACTGCTCTTAATTATTCTTTTGTTTTTCAACTGCTTAGGTCTATCAGGATGTGAGGGTAAATTCATTTGACAAAGTATTTGTGTATATTTTAAAACCCAATTGCTCCTCTGGAACTTGTATGTTCAAGAATGATTAATCTCTGTAATAAACTAATTAGTAATCACTTTAAAAAGAGAGATCATTGGTAATCCTGGAGAGAGTAGTTTCATTTGAGCGATGTCAGAAACCAGATTGCAAGAGGTTCAGAATTAAGTAGGGGCAAAGAATTTATGGGTGTACCTCATTTTATCATGCTTTGCTTTATGTTTTTTACAAATTAAAGATTTGTGTCAATCCTACATCAAGCAAGTCTAACAGCATGTGCTTATGCCTCTGTGTCACATTTTTGTAACTCTTGCAATATTTCAAGCTTTTTCATTATTACTATATGTTACGGTAATCTGTGATCAGTGACCTTTGATGTTACTAATGTAATTGTTTTGGGGCACCACAAACAGCACTTTTATATACACTGGGAAACCAAAAAATTCGTGTGATTCACTTTATTGCAATATTCGGTTTATTGCAGTGGTCTGGAAGTGACCCCTCAACATCTCTAAGGTATACTTGCAGACTTCTTTTATGAATTTGAATGTAAAAGGCAGAAGACATGTTGAACAACAGTTTAAGGGGATGCAAATATCAAATGAAGTGGTAAAGAATAGAGAAGATCTGGACATCTTTGGAAATAAGAGAGCAGGGGCCAGTTGATAAGGAGAGAGAAAAAATCAGAAGAATCGATTAAAGAGGTGAACTCCAAGAAAAGGTAGGAAGGGATGAGATTAAGGATACAATTAGAGGAGTTGACATTGCAAAGTGGGCTACCTTTGCTCTGAGAATGGAGCAAAAGAGAAAGAGGAATAGAGCTGATATTAAAGGATTTGGGGAGAAGAGAGAGTTTCCAATGGAGTGTCTCAACTTGGAGGCCCAGTGAAGTTAGGTGGCTTGCCAGATGTCACACAGGTAGTGAGTGGCATAGTCGGCATTCAGACCCAAGTT